CCCCCACGCACCGACTCCACTCCCTCTTCGCTCCCGCCACTCCACTCCCGCTTCCGCTGCCCTCTCGATTCCGCACCTCCTTATCCCCCGTGAACAGCACCCCCTGTGCGCGCATGTGCGCGCGACTGCTCGGTCCGCACCGTCCATCCCTGTCGGATCCCGACTTTCCCCCACCCCCCTCCCGACATTCCCCCTCCGATCCCACGTTCCCCCACCTTCCCCTCTTGCCTACCTACCTCATTCCCTACCCCCGACCTCGATCCCGAGCGAGCGTGCTCCCCCGCGTGATCTGCCCCTCCCCTACCTCTTCTCACGCTCCTCTCCCCCTGATAACCCTCCACCCGCTCGCACGTGCGCACCCCGTCTTAGTGGGAGCGGCCAATCACTGTGCGGACTTAAAAAAAAAATTAAAAAAAAATTAAAAAAAAATAAAAAAAATTGTGTCGACTGGCCGTTTGGCACTCATCTTGAACTGGATGGGACTCTGCTTTGCCTCTCGGTGGGGAATTTGCTCTGGCCTAGTCTGAGATATAGGCTTTGGAACAGATTTGGTGCCTGGAAGTTGCCTTGATTAGATGGTCTTTCGGAAATTAGGGCACCCCCATGTTTGGAACTTCGCTGTGGGGACCTGCTTTGACTGGCCGTTGGGCACTCGCCCTCCTCTGACTGGCCGTTTGGCACTCGCTTTGAATTGGATGGGACACTACTCTGTCTCTTTATTGGGAATTTGCTCTGGCCTGGTCTGAGATAGGTCTTGGAACAGATCTGTTGTGAGCAACCTGCCTGGATCAGGGTGAGCCTGAGGCCGGGTTAGTCCCCCGGAAATTAGTATACCGAGGACGGTGGGCCCCTGTATGTATCATGTAGGCTGTTGGGACTTGGTTCGACTTGCTGGTTGGACCCTGCGTTAGCATGGCAGAATTCAGTCGTGGTGGCGACTGCAGCGATGAGTAAGGCACAGAAGTTGAGAATTGCATCGCTCAACGCCAGAGGCCTGGGCGCCTCCTCCTTTTGGCCCAAATGGAAAGAGATCAAGGGCCTACTCGGGCGGGACCGGATCCACATCCTTTGCTGCCAGGAAACCAAGCTGGCTGAGAATCGGCTGGTAGAAGGGAAATTGCCGCCAGTGGAAGCGAGCCTTAACGCAAGCTTTCAACTCTGGGCACCTGCAATTGGAACATCCGGAGGGGTGGCCATCCTCTGCACCAAGTACTTTAAAGGGGAAATTTTTTACTTCTTTGCAGACTCGCAGGGCCGCTGGGCCTGGATATACGTCGATATGGCTGGGGAGCGCTTCTTGTTGGCTACGATATACGCTCCATCCCAACTCCAGGATAAATGCAGCTTTCGGAAGAGCCTCCCGGCCAACATCCCGGAGTGCGACAAACTGATCTTGATTGGCGACTACAACACTACAACCGACCCGCTCCCCCGGGAGGGGGACCGGCCCCTCTACTCACCTGATGCACAAGCCATGACGGTGACTCTGGCGGAACTGGGCCTCCAAGACGCGTTCAGAGTGCTTTGGCCGCACGGGAAAAGTATCACATGGGTAGGCCCGGGTGTGAGGAAACGGAGTAGAATAGACATGGCCTGGCTATCTCAGCCGGCCATGCAGTGCCTGCTGGATTTCAATATCATCCCGGTGGTCCATTCGGACCACAAGATGATTACTATAAGGTTGGCCATTCCCTCGAAGCTGCACACAAAACCCCCACCCTCGACGGTCTCGGGTTGGGTATTCACGGATGAGAAGTTCCGAAATCTGGCCAGGCAGCACTGGCAGTACTGGGAACGACTGAGGCACCCGGACCAGCCTGCTCTTCACTTGCTGACAGCAGGCACGGAAGCGTTGGCCAGACTGCTCAAACAGGCGGTGCTGACCTTAAAGCGCGCGCGAAGACTCACTGCGGAAGCATTCATCAGACGGGCAACGGAACTAGGAGATGGCCCACTTGCAGAGGAGGACGAGGAGGAATGGTGGACACAATGGGCCGCGCTCCGGGCTGAATGGAATGAGTGGCAGCTGCAGGACGCGGAATCATGGGGGCTGCGTAACAAGGCTCAATGGACAGCGGCGGCAGAGCGAATGACGAAAATCTTCTTCAGGCGGGTCCACGAAAAACGGCCCGCCTCTGTGATGAGCGCAATGCAACCCCCATTCCAATCGAACGGCCCGCTGGCGGATACCACTCCGGATGTACTGCGCCTTGCCCACCAGTTCTACGCCTACGTGTTTAGCGAGGAACAACATTGGTCGGAAGAGCAGATGCAAACCGCCCCGGCAGAGTCCATCTGGGCGAAGATCACTACAAGACTGGCGGATGCAGACCGGAGGGAACTCGAGGAGGCGGTCATAGAACAAGAGATCCAGGATGCACTTGCCGACATGCCGTAAGGAAAGGCCCCGGGACCGGATGGGATGCCGGTGGAACACCTCAAGGCATGTTTAGACACCCTCCTGCCACACCTCCGAGAGGGATTTAATGATGTATGGTATGACCGCACTCCTCTCCCTAACGACTTTGACCTTGCCACAATAATACTCATCCACAAAAAAGGCCCCCCGAAGGAGATCCGGAACTGGCGGCCGATTTCGCTGCTCTCAGCCCCGTATAAGCTCCTGGCAAAGGTCTTGGCCAATCGCTTAGCTCGCACACTTCCTGATATGGTGGACCCAACGCAGTCTGGGTTTATCCCCGGCCGGCGCACTCTCACAAACATCCTCCTCGCCAGGCAAATACTGTGGCACGCTCCGCAGCATGACTCGCCTCCAGCGTTTGTCCTACTGGATTTTGAGAAGGCCTACGACAGAGTCTCATGGTCATTCCTGTTAGAGGGGCTCCGCTAGAGGGCATTTGGACCGAGATTTCTCTCTGTGATCAGTCACCTTTTGGCCTCGGTTAAATCCCGTCTTCTTGTTAATGGCTATCTATCGGAGACCATTCTCGTCATGCGCTCAGTTCGGCAAGGCTGCCCCCTATCGCCAGCGCTGTATGCACTGTACATCGAGCATCTGCACGATATGCTCCGAGATGATGAGGACCTGGTGGGCTTACAGTTTCCGGGCAACAGACATCTCAAGGCATCGGCCTTTGCAGACGATACGGGGGCAGTCACTGCCCTCACTGTTAGAAGTGTCCAGGCGCTGCGAAACTAGGTGGGCATCTTCGAGGACTTTGCAGGAGCCAGGATGAATTGGCAATAGTTAGTTGCCCTGGTCCCTTATATGAATGCGGCCCCGTTGTTTGAGGGAATGAGAGTGCAGCCGGCAACAGATGACGCGACTTACCTCGGTATTGAGCTTCCCCATGCCCTCACCGACGGCACACAGATCGAACAGCTGATGAGAAAGGCGTTCGCAAGGCCCGCAAGGCTGGTCTTTGCGGGAGGACCTCAGACGCAGGTATATTTGGTAGAGCCCTCCTTGCAAACTCAGTGGCCTCGGCGACGTTGTGGTACGTCGCTCCCGTCTCCACGCCCGAACTGGTACCTCAGCGGGAATATAAGTCTGCATTGACCAAGTTCATCTGGAAGAATGATCCCTTCGCCCCGCAGGCAATTCATCGAATCTCGTGGCACAAACTCACACAGCCCAGAAGGGGCCGGGGACTGGGGTTGATCGACCCAACCACCCAAGTTCAGGCTCTACAGCGCCACACGGTGCTCTGGCTTCTCATGGAACGAGACGATGCCCCCTGAAAGACCTTGACCCTACAGACGATGGATGAAGCGGCGCGAGTACACCCGACGGACATGGAGACGGCCCTGCTGCAACCGGCCATTATGACGGACCTCAAGTGGGGGGCCCTGTGGTCACCCTTCTTGAAGCTTTGGAGGGACATGGAGCCGCTATCCCTTAACTCGCCAACCTCGACAGAGCAAATCCTTCAACAGCCGCTATTTGGTAACCCCCAGATTTGTGATGAAGCGGGGCTAGGGCCGTTTCCATGGACAGGCACCAAAGGAGCCTTTGGAAAAGCTTGGCTCAAGGCAGGAGTCGCACGGGTGGAGGATCTCTGGGACCTGCAAGGAAAGGATTGGAGGGAGGAGCGGGCGGTACTTAAACAACTGGAAGGACAGACACACAAACTGGACCGCCTCCACCGTGTCAAGGAGGCTATCCCTGCAGAATGGATAGAGGCCCTCATATCTGAGAAGAACTTTGAGCGAGAGTGGGTGGTGATGGCCTCTGAGGACCCTGTCCGGATGGTGTTCAAAATTCAGGCGCAGGTGGGAAATGACTGGTTGGTGGCGGAGGCCTGGGAGAATGTGTCGTCTAATGGCCTACTCGCCCCCCCCCTCGTCCGGTCTGCGGCTAGGGACGGCTGACTGCCTCGAAACCTTGTCCGACCAATCACGGTGGTCACGGACAAAAAAACTGCATCTGCATCGTCGGCGGTGCACCGCGCCTTCTGTGCAGAAAAGCGGCCCTCCCAACTACCTGTGGAACCGACAATGTGGACCTGGAAAGCAAAAGGCCTGCAACGCCAACCCCTCCCGCTACATCAAGTCTGCACAAAGACTATTTACAGATCGCTAGCGCCGCCCTACCGGATGGACCAGGAGTTGCGCCACCGATGGAATCGGAAAGGATGGTTGTCGGAAGACCACACCAAACACTGGACGTCGCGGACCTGGAAGGCTACGGTCACTCGCCTCCAGGCCCTCCCTAATCAGAAGCATGCAGGGCTACTATGGCTGAACATCCACCTAGCCCTCCCAACGAACCAGTGGATTGCGAAGCGCTTGTCATTCTTCGATCTGAGGTGCTTGGGCTGCGACGCAGACTGCGAAGATATTCCCATATATGGTATGGCCGCGTCCCGCAACAACAGTTTTAAGAATGGTGGAGGTGGGAGGTCGGGGGTGACATAGAATGTATGATCCCGGAAGCATGGAACGATGGCCTAATGATAGGCCCGACCTTCCTCAACCCGCCGATACGCGGCCCGCGAGCCTACGCTATTGAAATAATCAGAGCGGCCTTCCTGGGTGCGGTCTGGGCGCTTCGCACACAACTCCTCTTTCAACACCGCTCGCCAACCTTCCTGGCACTGCGTACAATGACGCTCACAAACCTCCGAACTGCCATAACGACGAACATCAAAAGAAAGTTGCAGGGAGCATGGCCCTTGCTTTGTCAGACCTGGGCGCCGTATCCCAGACTTCTCTGCATCGACGAACAGCCAGGATTGTGGCGATGGGTCCATGCGGGAGGATAGAACCATCAGTCGGCGGCATTGAGGTGACCAGGCGTCTTTGGATGCTTTGGGAGAAGCTGCAGAAGACAGATCCCAGGTATGGACCCCACCGGTGCTTTTGGGAATAGATAAAGAGAGAGATCAAAACTGAGTAATTCGACTGTTTGGATTTTTTAGTTAGTCGCTGTAAAAAGTAATTGGGCGATAGGTACTTTCGGGGCCCCAAATTGAGCAATTGGACTGTGTGTAGAGTTAGATCTATTTTGCTAAACAATAGGTTGATAGATATGGTAGAGAGTTCAAAGCTGAGTAATCTGACTGTTCGCGGGGATAGATTTACCTCATTGAACATAATGATTAATAGGCAACCCAGTGAAAGCTCCATTGCTGCGTGGGAGGGTTTGGGTTAGTGACGGTGAGTGCTGTCCTGCAGGACCCATAGAGACAAGGGGCGAATTTACAGGATACTTTTGAGACACATGTTCACTTCTCTCAGGGGGAGCGAGGGGCTTGCCTCTAGGCATCGCAAATTTCGTCATCCCTAGGGATCCCTTTTGCGCCTGGGTGCTTACGCCTCCCGACAGAAAGGCCCCCCGGGAATGACCAAACTGAATTAGTGCCTTTGGGCAATCCCTGTCGCAGGCGTCGCTGCCCTAGGACAGCGCCGATACCCCTGGTCCTTTTTCGTGACTCTTCTATCTGTACTTTGGGACGCTTAGCCCGCTTCCCAGCAGGTGCTGCTCCCCACGAATAGACCGAAGCCCCCCCTAGATGCTAGTGATACCTACTCTTACCAATATCACTAGCACCCCAACGGGGTGTGTTTGTTAAAAAAAATAAAAATAAATATAAAAAAAAAATTGTGAGAGCTTGGCCTATCAATCCTCTAGCGTTCAGGACTTCAAGCTAGAGGTGTCAAAAAGTTCAAAGTTACCACACGGATAACTGGTTCATGGCTGCCATCAGCATCATCATCGTCCTGGTCATTGCCGCCATTGCCGACGTCATCATCAGTTTGGGCATTTAATCCGGCGACCTCGTCGTTCCACCGGGGGAACGATCGAGAAGACCCTTTAGGGGTTCATTGAAGACCTTCCTCGACTAGGAGGAAGGACCTTGATTGCTCCCGGTCGACCGGGAGCGCGGTATTGTCAATCTATCTTCCTCCTACTAATCCCCTCCCTTCCTCTCGTCTGTCTCTCTCAAAGATCTCATCTTTTTCCCCATCTTTTACCTCCTCTCCAACACCCCTTCTCTCCCCCACCCTCCCACCTAATTGGTCGCATCATCCAAAATTCCTACTACGTGTGACACATATCTTCCTTCTTTGTGCTTGCCTGACAATGCCGTCCATTCTGCCGTTCAGAAATTCAATCTAATTCGATAGGATTAATCTTCATCTTCTTTTCTCCCAACGCCGTGATCGGAATTAAATTCGGCAGTCTTGTTCAAAAGTTATGCAAATTTCTATAGTTTCTTGATTTGTTCGTTATTTGATTTTAAAATTCAATTTCATTTCAGAAATTCGTGAAATAAATTTCAGAATTTACTACAAAGAATTCTTCCAATATTGAATTTCCTTCTATTTTCCATCTCCTGTAAAACATGTGTGAATAGCGGGCGGCGACCCATTCGAAAACCGGTTTTTCATAGAGATGATGATCTGGTTGAAGATGAAGCAATGGCTGCTGAGCCGTCAAGAATGGCTGAGCAACAAGGATGTACTAAGATAGCGGCAAGCGCCGGGCAGCGGGCTAGAGAGAATTCTTCAATTCGTTCAAGAACAGAGGTGACTTCTCACTTCAACGAACAAAGATCAACTCAAAGTTATCTGCGCAAGAAAATGCCGCATACACGACCAAGGGACCAACGATCGAAAGGATTGTGTAAGCACGAGCAAAGCTGGCATACGAAGGTGTCGTGTTCACCCTTGTCTCTTAGGCCCAAAATTCACTCGAGGACTGGAGGACTCCCAGCACGTGACTTAGTCACTATGCATGTTTTAAGTTATGGACTAAGTTGGTCGATTGTATGAGATTGCGACGTGTGGCGTGAGAAATCGGTGCCTCTAATTGACTCAATGCTTTTATGACAATTGTGTAACTTTATGTTTCGTAGCCTTAGCAATACTGGGAGAAATTTTGTGGATGAGTAAGTTCTAATCACTCCTATAGTCAGTTGATTAGGATAATTGGAATTTTGGTCCGGTCGTTTATCTTTTGTCCTCGCCTTGGTGCAAAGCTCAGTACA